AACAATTCATTGATACGTTATTTAAGAAGTACTTTTGCATGGTGGCAGCGGTGCCCCTCCCCCCTCCCCTCACGTTAATGGGATTAGATGATAGTTGATTGATGTTTATTCATCCTTTTCTGAAATTCATAGTGTGTCATACAGCAAACATCAGACCAACAACATCAACTGACCAACAACCAGACAACTGCTTTACCAACACAAACATCACCCGCTATATGTGCTATACAAGTTATACTGAGGTGCAGCTCCCCAATACCCACCCAGTTAACTCATGACTGACGATACAACCCAAACTCACGGCCCAACAGTCAATCATTAAGTCAATCATTATTTCAGTTAAATGCTAAAGTTGCTGTTACGGTTACCTTGACTGTGGTCCGCTGGCATAAAACTGGGTGTTTTCCGATCAGGTGCCATCGTGCTGTTGGTAGGTAGCAATAGGTTTCGTTTTACGGTGGACGGACTGTGACATTACAGAGTTGTTGTTTTCTTTTAGCTTGAAAGAATCCAAGACTTGGGACACTTTCTTCTTAGGCCCTTGCTATTTCCTCTCTCTTCCTCCACTTTGCAAACAGCGCCATCATTATCACATGTTCACACAGCGTAAGCGCGATGTGCGACAGTTACAAATGTTCGTGTGAAACATGGCCTCGATGCAAAGATTTCGATTTGATCGACGAATTGTTTCAGCCCTTCTTGAAATACAGTATTACAGAGTATTGACTTGAAAGCAGCAGGGATAAGGAGATGGGTTCTGTTTTTTCCCCCCTCATCCTGGTGATCGGCACATCTGGGTGATGTAAGTTTAATGTGCGTTAGCATGTTGGATGTTTCCAGTCAGATAACGTTACCCTACATCAATGGTGCAACACCGACACACAGATACGGTCCTCATAAACACACACCTGTCTCTCCGCTGCTGTTGTAACGTTAACTGACCAGTAACCTGCAGGCGGATATTCCAGCTGCCTTAAAACATCCAAGTCACACCAAACAGAGTAAACTGTAAAGTCACACAGACAAAAAGTCTTTATTTATGATGTTACAACATTTATTTAATTATTTAATTATACAGGAATCCTGCAGTAAAAATTCAATACCTTTTTAAGACCTTTTCAACATATTTTAAGACTGCCGTGCCACTTTGAACTGTAACCGATTAAATCAGCCACACACCTCTAAAAGGGACATTTTTGAGCTTTTAAAAGGAATTTAAATATATTTATAACATATTTATTGCCATAGGTCATCAGGTTGTAATGCCATCTAAAATTTGAGGCATTCACCAACTTTCTCAGATGCCTATAACAGCCTGTATAGGCCAACTGCTTTCTACGTGAAGGACTGGTCACATTTCCTGCGAAAAGCAACTGTCTTACATAAGCTGACATTTATGTACGCAATATTACAGCAAATCATGTGAAACACTGTAATTTTGTGTTTTAGTTGATTTAAACTAGATAATGTGAGCTTGCCTGCAATGATGTGTGAGAACTTTCACCGTCCACTTGATCAATACAACAAAATTCAACACAAACAATAACAAAGATGAAGAGAATAAACTGAGTGATGAATAACGCAAGTAGTGTAGGCGGTGTCCTTAAGGCACAACCTCGAGGAGGAACTAGTCTAAATGACTGTATTAGTATAATAATATAACATTATTAGTATATTGTTAATTTAATAGTAAACTAAAAGTTTGATATTAATATATTCATTATGTTACTATATTCATATCCTTACCACTAGTAGGCTATAATATTAATTCAAATTACAGCTGCTTCAGTTTGGGGTTGTTTTTTATTCATTAACTTTGTGCAAGAAAAATGCTCTAGGCTACATGATAGTCTCCAACCTTGATGTTGAGCAGGCTACTAACTCGTCAATAATCATAACTGTTTATGCAGAACAATGAGTTAAACATTTATAAAGTTTGTTGCAGCACATCAAGCTTTTTTTTTTAATCCCGCTCCATCCAGGCTGTGATTGATCTGTTCACAAACAGTGACGAGAGTATCGGCTTTATGAAAAGCTGAACGTGTTTCATTAAAAGGCACCGATTTAGCTAAATAGCCAGCTAACGTTATACAAACCCACACGCTGGCCACAGATCGACCGGCCAACCAGGTTAATCCCGTTACTCCTGATCGCCACTCCGACTATGTTTTGGATAATTAGCATTGCGGGTCCAGCAGGGTGGGAGATTATGGTTGGTAGTTCGTAAATCATTTTCCGTTTCGCACGGATCTATTTTTTTGAGTGTTTAAGAGTGAAACAGGATTTTTACATTGAAAAAAACATCTTCAAAATGTATACCTTGTTAAATGGCGATTAAGACTTTAATACTTTTTAATAGCCTTAATTTTTGCAAAATTGATTTATTACCTTTTAAGACTTTTTAAGACCCCCCCCGGACACCCTGTAAATCCTACGAAAGGCCTTTGTAAATGACATTTAATACTTTTAAGACCATGCCAGTCACCTGGAACAGACAGGATAGGCTCTATTTTCATCAGTGGAACTAAAACAACAAGTTATTATGCAAAATTCACTTATAACTTTTATTATAGCCCACTAAATGTTCTTCTTCTACAGTAGGCCCAATATAATTATTTAAATGTGTTCATTATGTTGTTGTTTGTTTGATGTAGCCTACAGTTTACTAATTTACTTTAAAATGTAGGCTATTTGACTGTTTTGATCTGTAATGAAATTGTAAAATTAAGGAACCCATAACTGCCCTGCCGTTGTAATCATTTAATTTAAAGAGGTCTTTGGCATTTCGTTTTCCCCTTTGATGAGAACTGAGGCTTTACGTTCCATGCTGTGAGCGGTGGTCAGGCGTGTGAAAAAAACCCTGAACATTCTAATCAATCCCAAAATTGAAAATCGAATACCTACCCAACGAACAAATAACCTATTCGAATATTCGGGTCCAGCCCTAATTACTAGGGGAGGGACTCTTCACCCTTTACCCTGGTAACCAAGAAAATGAAGGAGAAGCTTGCTCTGGATATGTCGGTCTTATGTCTGTGGGCTGAGCTTTATGGTACATCAGACAGAAACTACCATAACATGCACAACAAAGACAGAAAAGCCCATGTTGTGGGATCTACCAACCTGAATGTTGCTGGGTAGTGTGCTTTAATCCCTCTACGGGTAAGCTTGCTGTTAACTGCGTAGTAAATAAAAAAAATAAAAAACCCTACATGGACACACATTTCTGTCCACCACTCTTGATCAGCACTATGGAGCAAATTTGTGACACTTGTCTCCTTCTCCAATACCATGCCTGAAATTTGCATAAGAATTGATGAGTTGGCCTATGTGTGAAATGTAGTCACACGTTGTTATGAAGTTTCCACAACAAGACACACTTTAAGTTCTGAAATGTACACCTTGCATTATGTTAAAGCACCTTTTCTGGATACAGTTTAAAGAAGTGCAGGAAGTCCGTAAGTTACAGAAATGTTATGGCGGCTCTTTTCCACGGCATGGTACCAGCTCGACTTGCCATTTTTGGTTTTCCATTGAGGAAAAGTTGTACCTGTCCCTGCTACCTTGTACTTTTTATCATATTGACTATGTTAAGGTTCCAAGCGAGCTGAGGCTGTACCAAAAGGTTACGTGAAAACACTGCAGGTTACTGATTGGTCAGAGAGAATCGCCACTATTTACGGCATCATCATTGTGGCGCACCAGTTTTGAGATGATGTAGATTAAGAATATTTGCAGTTTTACACAAATTGATGGCGGATCGAAAATGTGCTCAATCTTTTTCACATGACGACTTTTTAAATTTCAAAAACATATACAAAAATAGAACAAATAGAAGTGTCGGTCTGAAAGGACCTTAAGTAACCCTAATTCCAATGTCATTTTTAAATTACTGAATCTTTCACACCTGTAAGCTCACACTGACATGCCCAGGTTCCAAAGTGTTTGCTGCTGGAAAGAGGAAAGTGTTTCCAGCAGCTATTTCAAGCAAAACATACCTACATGCTGAACACAGTGTTCAAAACATTAGACACAATAATTCATTTTTACTGCATCATATCCAATAGTTGTCATTAACTCTATGACCTCGGGCCAGTATGATTAACTTCTAGGATTTTCCACCGTATTAAACCAGAGCTTCCTCTCTCAAAATGTAAGCAGGAATTCATACGCCATTAGCGGGACACTTGACCGTAAAGGTAAAAGTTAACATTGCGAACAGAGACCATGCTGAGTGACGTTAACATTAGCTAGCTAACGTTAGTTAGCAACTAACTTAAGCAGCTCCATTACTGCCACGCATTTATGAGTAACGTTACCTAACTGACTTCATGTTCATGGGCATAAAACTAAAAATATTTGGTTAAATATCTGGAGATGCCCGTTTGAAATTATCTGCACACTAAAGAGCAACGAAGCCTCTCAAGGTTCTTGGCCTCAATATTGGTGGCAAAGTATCAACCGTGTTGTTAGCTTATATTAACAAACTACTGGTTGCTAGCGTTACCATATGGCAACTTAGGATAGCTCAGCTGATACTCGGTTGTAAAGACACAAATGAAGTATCTAAACAATGTCTCAGGTAGCCCATTATCCGCTTACATAGCGTTGCCCTGGGGCACAGACGCTTCAATGGAAACCCTCTTGCAGCGTTCAACAGGGTATCTTAACCTAGCATGGCTAGCGATGTTAAATCAAACGGATCGCGCCTGTCTGAAACCAGTTATTGCCCTGTCTAAAGGTATGTTGCCTATGTCTGAGTGTGCTTGCCTGCCACAGAGCGTATGATTTATAGAGCAAACGTGAAACATGGCTTCACCCAAAAATGTACAGTTTCTAATGCAATACGTTTGGACAGTAACGACAGTCACCATGCACCATCACCATGTCAGCCTGCCAGCCAGCTTGGTAGCTAGCTAATAGCTAGTAAGGCCAACACATGCAAAACAGTAACGTTTTTTCCAGAAAGACGAATCATGCGATTTGGTAAATAATCTCACCTGATTTATGTTTTACAATTGATCGTCTTGGCTAATAATACTTGAAATCATTCGTTGGATGTCCTCATTTCCAGTCACTCTTGCTGTCCCGATTTGGTGGCTATTCGTCCTCGGTGGGACCACTTCCTTTCACCTGGGCCTCTGCTACGCCAAAACATTAACGTAAACTGCGTAACAGCCGGCCACACTCTGGCCCGCCAGTCTACTAATATGAATGAGAATCGCTGTCCGTAATATGCTGGAAGTGTCACTGGCCTTATTTGAGGGAAGACAGAAGAAACCGTTGTCTTACTTCATTTGCAGACAAACATTATTTTACAGCAGCTAAGCAAACTTTAGCTGCTTTACTTACTGATCCTGACATTACGAAAAACTGTATTTTGCTTTTACAAAACAAAATCAGATCACCACATTGAAGTGCATGAACAATTCGATTTAGCTTTAACAATTCGACATTGAAAAAAAATGTATCAATAACAGATACATAGAATAGATAGGTGAATAAAAATTAACTGAAGGCCATATTTTTACTATTACATTACACATATGAAAACTAAATAAAATACCTTTATTAATTTCCAGAGGGGAAACTTATGTGTTACAAAGGTACAAGAAACACTCTAATGTGTGTGAAATGTAGAAATGTAGATCTCTCTCTCTCTCTCTCTCTCTCTCTCTCAATTTTTCAATTCAAATTAACTTTATTGGCATGAATGTGTAACAACATCATACAAACTACATAAGAACAATCAACCCCATACATTTCATTAAACAAGTAATTAAAGCGTATGTGTGTTTGTGTTAAAAAATATATATTAAAATAAAATAAATAAATAAAACAGTAAGAGTGTGTGTGTGTGTTAAAAAAATATAAATATTAAAAATAAAATAAATTTTTTATTTAAATTTAAATAAAATAAATAAAACAGTAAGCGTGTGTTTTTAAAAAATATATTAACAATAAAATAAATGAATAAATAAAACAGTACCACGTGTGTTCAATTTTTTTTAAATAAAATAAATAAAACAGTAAGCGTGTGTGTGTGTGTGTTAAAAAAATTAAAATATATTAAAAATAAAATAAATATATAAAACAGTAAGCGTGTGTGTGTTAAAAAAATATATATTAAACATTAAAATAAATAGATAATACCGTAAACGTGTGTGTGTATTAATTGACAAAAAAAAAATTATTGATTAAAAAATAATAATAATAATCATTTAAAAAATATCAAGCAATCAAAAATTATTTATCAGTCTGAGTTTCCACTGGTTGTCCTCACTTCATGGCATGAGGAGACATATTTTGCCGCAATTATTTGACATCTAGGCATTTCTCCCAGTATATAGGGGAGTTTCTGTGTGTCTGATATAAATTTGAATTCGGGGTATATTTGGGAAATGTTTGCAAAGTGTTTTTGTCTTAGTGTTTTATATTTAGGGCATGAGGTTAGAAAGTGCAGCTCTGTCTCTACCTGTCCCCTGTCACAAATGGAGCAGAGTCTCTCCTCTTGTGGTAGCCAGTTCTGTCTGTGGCGACCCTTTTCTATGGCCAGGCAATGTTCACTCAGTCTGGATGTTGTCAACATTTTTCTTAGTTTAGGACATTTTATTGTGCTCAGGGAATTTGCCAGTGTGAATTCTCTTTTTAGGGTCAGATAACATTGGAATTTACTTTGTGTTTTGGTCGTTTCTTTCCAGTATTCAATATATTTTTCTTTCTGCTTGCTGATAATTTGGTTTGGTCTGCTTGAGTTGGTATTGCTGTCCTGAGGCTGTTGGGGACTTGTTACTGCAGAGAGCCTCAGGACCAGCTGGCTGAGGGGACTCTGGTTTCAGCTCCTGGTATGTTAGGGCTTTGTGATGGTATGTCTGGGGGTTTACTGATTTTAAGTGATTGTAAAATTGAAGTGATCTTTTCTGTATTTTTAGTAAGAGGGGGTATTGGCCGAGCTCTGCTCTGCACAGGTTATTTGGTGTTTTTCTCTGCACCTGCAGGATGCTTTACAGAACTCGATGATTCTATGATTGTTTTGTCCCATTTGTCAAATTCATTATTTAGTTTTGGCCCCCAAAATTTGCAACAATATAGAATTATTGATTCTAGTACAAACTGGAAAATTTTAAGCCAGATTGGAATATAGATTTGAATGTTTCTTTTTATTGCAGAGAAAGCTCTCCTTGCTTTGTCCCTCAGGTCTTTCACGGCCATGTTGAGCTTTCCTGTGTATGTAATGTTGAGGCCAAGGTAAGTGTAGTTTTTTGTATATTGTAATTTAGTGGTGTCTAAATAGAACTTGTGTGTAACCTGATTTCTGTATTGTTTCTGAAAGATCATTATCTTAGTCTTTGCTGTGTTTACTGTCAGGGCCCAGGTCTGACAGAATCTCTTCAGGAGGTTAAGGTGCTGTTGCAAACCTTCTTTAGTAGGTGAAAGCAACACTAAGTCATCTGCATACAGCAGACCTCTGATCTCTGTGTCGTTCAGGATGAGGCCAGGTGCTGTGGAACGCTCTAATTGGTTCGCTAATTCATTGATATATAGATTGAAGAGAACTGGACTGAGATTGCATCCCTGCCACACTCTCCGGCCCTGGGAGAAGAACGCTGTTTGTTTGTTTCCAATCTTTATGGCACATTCACTTTTTTATACACGTTCTTAATCAAATCATTTGTTTTTCCTCCAGTGCCACTTTCAAGTAGCCTCTAGAAAAGGCCCTCGTGCCAGATGGAATCAAAGGCTTTTTGGAAGTCAACAAAACATGCATATACCTTTCTTTTCTTAATATTTAATTTTTGATCTATGTATTGTGGTCATCAAGAAAGTCGTTTATTAATGATGTTGCAGAATATTTTTCCCAGGTTACTGGATACACACTGTTTTTATTTGGGTCATAATTATCTCCGGATTTATGAATTGGGGTTATTAAACCTTTGTTCCAGATGTCTGAATAAGTTCCAGTTGATAGAATAGTATTGAATAGCCAATCTGATTTTATGGTTTGAGTATTTGATCATTTCATTGAGGATTCCATCAATACCACAAGCCTTCTTTCCTTTCAGGGACGTCTTGGGTAATCTTGAGGGTTTTGGTTGTTTTTTATCACAGCCTCCAGAGTTTGATGAGTTTTCCATTTCGCGAATATCTTGTACTGATCATCATTTTTTGTAATATTACTGTATAATTCACTAAAATTATTAATCCAAGTATTTCTATCTTGGATCGCCAATTCATCCTGCTGGGTTTTGTTTAGGTTGTTCCATTTCTCCCAGAACTTGTTGGACTCTAAGGACTCCTCAGTTTCACAGAGCTGGTTCTTGCTGTGTTGTTCTTTCTTAGTTTTTAGGGTGTACTTGGATTGTTTCAGAGTGGCCTCTTATGTGTATGTTGTGGTTATCTGGGTCCCTATGTTTTTCATTTGATAATTCCTTAAAGTTTTCCTCAGGTTTTTGCATTCAGTGTCAAACCATTTGTTATTGTTCATTTGTTGAGGTTTTGTTTTGGAGGCTTTTAAATTAGACAATAGAGCCAAATGATGAAATATTGAATTGATTTTACACCAGAATTATTCTGGGGAAATGTTTCAGTTAGAAATAAATGAGTTAAATCATGTATGAGGGTGTGCCTTTAGGTACGCCCCCATGCTGTCTGGGGTCCAATTGTATGGGTATGTGCTGTTAAACAGTTCACAGGCACTAGGGGCCCCAGACTTACACTGAGCCCTTTTCAGATTTTGCTGTGGTCTGAGAGGGGTGTGAGGGGGCTGACTGTGAAAGCTCTGAGAGACATTGGATCTAGATCTGTAATGAAATAAACCGTACTATTGCCAAGAGCTGAGCTGTGAGTGTAGCGACCCAGAGAGTCCCCTCGTAGCCTGCCGTTGACTATGTACAGACCCAGCGTACGGCAGAGCTGTAAAAGCTGCATACCGCTTGTATTAGTAAGCTTGTCAAAGCTTTTTCTAGGAGGACATTCAGGGAGGGGGAAGCAGGTGCTTCCAGGTAAGTGTTTGTCTCCCTGGGTGTTCATAGTGTCAGCTCTTTCCCCTGTTCGAGCGTTCAAGTCCCCACAGAGTAATACATTTCCCATGGTTTTATAATGGTTAACTTCCTCCTCAAGAATAGAGTATCTGGGTTGTAGTGGGGGGATTCTGATGGAGGTATATAGATGGCACACATGTAGATATGTTGCTCAGCACAAATCATTTGTTTGTTAATTTTCAACCATATATAACATTCTTCTTTTTTAATAACTTTCGCAATAACTGGCTCAGTTCTGATTTACACCATATAATCATGCCTCCTGAATCTGAGTCTTTTAACTCTATTAAAATCTGGGTTTCTGCTCTTTAAACCAAAAGCTGATGATCTCAGACCTTGAATGTTCCAACATGTTATTGTAAACGATTTCATCTCGATGTAATCCATTCAAAAATTAGACAAACGCCTTAAAAAACAATACTATATTAAAAAATAATGTATTAAAAAATAATACTAATAATCCAACGAAGGTTAAAGTCAAGGGCAACTGGACTTGGTTGAAGATACTGGAAGACGTTTCGTCCCTCATCCAAAGGACTTCTTCAGTTCTGACTGACTGGCAGGAAAACTCAGCTATTTAACCTCAGTGGGGTCGTTGGCCCGGGTCATCGATACCGCTGGTTCGTTAGTGTTCCTTGTTGCTGTGACGACAGTCGTTACAGTCGTTAAGACTACCTGTGGCCAAGACTGAACGACCATCGTTGGTATCTTCACCTGAGGTCAATAGGTTACGTTTGTTGAGTTTCCTGGGAAGTGATGAAAGGACAGCATTGTAAGTGGGGGATAAGTGGTGGCGTAGACCCCCTCCCCTGTTCAATGACGGCTTCTCAACCCTGGTGTAGATGGCTTCCTTGACACCTCTTTCAAACCATCCATCTTCTCTGTCTAAAATGTGCACCTGGTGGTCCTCAAACGAGTGTCCTCTGTCCTTCAGATGTAAGTAGACAGCAGAGTCTTGACCTGAGGAGTTGGCCCTTCTGTGTTGAGCCATGCGTTTGTGTAGTGGTTGTTTAGTCTCCCCAATATACAGGTCTGTGCATTCCTCACTGCATTGGACCGCATACACTAGATTGCTTTTCTTGTGTTTGGGTGTGCGGTCTTTGGGGTGGACCAGCG